GATTTTTAAATTAAAAATGAAAATAATAATAATAAAAGGTTTTTTCTTTTTGTTGTTAATCTTTGATTTTTTGGTCGAAATGGCATATCTCAAAAAGGAACTACAAGTTCCATGGAATTTGCAGATTGCGATTATTGAAAAATAATGATTGTCTTATGCAAATAGATTTTTAATGTAAAAAACGGGCTTTTGGGGCAATTTTGGTTTGCGGTTGCGCACCCTAGTATTGATTATAATTAATTGATATTAATAATTTCCAATTGTTTAAAACTCAATATTTTACACCAAAAAGTATATCTTAAATGTTATAATAAAATTATAAAATATGAATAACAAATAAATTAAAACCTTGATTTGGTTTATCATTAATTCATAATGAATCTTTCTAGTTGTCTTAACTATGTGTTATGTTAGTTTTTTAATTATTTTTTAAACAATGTTGTATTTAAAAGTTATTTGGTAATTACAAAAATTAATTTTAACATTATTTAATTATTATTGTTGAATCAATTAATAATAAAACCTCATATTTTAGTTCTTAACAATTGTGATTAAAAAAAACTTCATCAAACATTCAGAAATTACATGATTCAATTAGATGCATACCACATAATGGTTGTTTCTCAATACTTTTTATCATTCACAGACTTTATAGCACTTGAGATGGTGTGTAAAAAGTATAACGGCAATCTCTCTCGATTTCATTTCAATCCGATTCCGATAAACAATACGATTATAAAGTACTTTTCTTCTATTGAAACTTTGAATATTTGGTCTCCAGACTCCGAAAACTTCGGCTTTCAGTTTTTCGATTTAAATAAACCACGTGTTTCTATACCAAAGTCTATATATAATTTCTTTGTTGTAAACATATGGTACCCCGTCGACTATTCAACATCGATGTGTCCACAAAATAAGAACTTTTCATTTAAACGAATTTGTTACACTTCAACTGATCTTAACGCCTTTGGAGATTTGATACCTTTAAACGTTGTATCAATAGCAAATAAATGTTTTTCTGATTATCAGAGTGATACTTTTGTTGCTCTCACACTTTCGAAGAAAATTAATTCATTGGGAGAGTCTTCCTTTGCAAAATGTTATTCTTTAACTTCTGTGGTAATGACTGGCCGAATTGAGTCAATTAAAAATTCATGTTTTTCATTTTGCACATCCCTTGTATCTGTGCGCATACCCGTATGCTTGGGTACACTTGGGGATAGCGCTTTTTATGGGTGTTACTCATTTCAATCATTTGAAGTTCCAAAAGGTATTACCGAGCTTGGGAAGTATTGTTTTGGGAGGTGCACTTCATTGAGCAAAGTAAGATTACCCAGGAGTTTGAGTATTATAGCGGATGGGTGTTTTTCAGAATGCAAAAATCTCAAAGAAATTGTGTTACCAAACAACTTAAAAATGATCGGAAGAGAAGCATTTTATGGATGTCAACAACTCACAAATTTTGTCATACCAAAAAGCGTCACTGAAATCCAACAAGAAGCTTTCCGGTATTGTGGACTGACTTCTATCAACATTCCTGATAATATCATAACATTGCCATATGGCGGTTTTATTGGGTGCACCAATTTAGTGGAGGTTGTGATGTCTAGTAGTATTAAGGAAATTGAAATGAATTGCTTTGTTGACTGTAGAAATTTGAGTGCAATCAATTTTACTAAGAACTTGAAAAGGATCTGGGGAGGCGCGTTTTGGAATTGTAGTTCACTTAATGAAGTTGTAGTGTGTAATAACACTAAAATAGATAAGGACGCATTTCAAAACAATACGTATGTATTTAGAAGAGAAGAAGAAGGGCCGATCATGCCATGGGAAAGGTTTAATAAACATAACAAATGAGTTTTAAGTTTGGAGCTGAAATTTAAATGATTACATTGATAAAGTCTTTAAGTTTGAAAATAATTTTGAAAAATTTTTGTTTGTCATAATTGTGAGAAAACGGATTTATTTATTTATACAAAATTTATTAATCTTTTTCTTATAAATTAATGAATAAATATATTCATTTCTTTGAAATATTCAGATTTGCAAAAAGTCAATTAAAAATTATATTTAAATTTAGTCTTAACAAACATGTTTACTAATTATTAAATATAGTGAAAATGCCAATATATATTTATTGAAATCTGGTAGTTGTCTTAAAATATCTTTTTGTTATAAATCAGTTATATAACAGCCATTTTATGATGAAAAAACAAACAAAATGTTTGATAAAGTATTTTTGTTTAACCTTATAAAGAGGTTTTGATACCTTTCGACTATTTTTGTTTATATTCTTTCAAGTATTCAATTTCTTTTGAAGTGAATTGTTTGCTTCTTTCACTTCACTTATACCACACAGTATGAACGCCGTTCTATACGAGTTTTCATACAATTTTTGTTTTCCTTTTAAATCCATTTTAAATAACACACAAGTTTTTGCTTTTAAACAATTATAAAATTTGTCAGTATCATTGGTTTGCATTGCCACCATTTTATCAGTAGTTTTTCCAAATAAATCATCCAACACATCATCAAATAAAATGACACTTTCTTGTTGATTTGAACTGTCTTGAATTGTAGCGATAAGTTTAAAATATTTAATAGGATTTATTTTATCACGGTTACAATGGTTACATTTGTGTGCAGTTTTTTCAACACTTATTTTACATGTTGGACACCCATAATAATAGCATACTTCTTTTCTAAATAATATGAAGAAAGCGGTAACATACCCGTAAACGTCTTGATTTGTTAAATGAATGTTTTTTGTCATTTCTTGTATCGAATAACGAGGAAATTGTGTTACTTCAAAAATCTTATTCAAATTCGTGAAATTGGGTTTGTCAAATTCGTAGTTTCCATCTTCTCTTTTACACCCTTTTAACTTTGAAATCAATTTGTCTGTTTCTTCATTAATCTCACTTATTTCATAAGTCGATTTATATTCAAAAAAGTTTAATGATCGTACTTTGAATGCTCCAAGTAACACGTTTCTGAATGTGTATATTTTTTCAAACATTTCGAGTTTGTCTGGTAGAGTCGAGGTGTCACCCCAAAATTTAATTTCAATGATATAATTCGATTGATCAACGACTAATATAGTCCGATACACTTTACCTCCTTTGGTTACATTATCTTCTTTGTTTATTTTAATTACAACTCCACTCACATCGTACAATTTTCAACGGTTGCATTTTTAAATAAGAAATTGTAGTGATTAAACCTTTTGAAGGAATATCATTATTAGACTCTTGCGTCGGTATTTCACATGTATAAGTCATATTCACATCAATTACTTTTCAATTAAATGTATACCAGTCTTTTTTTTCTTTAAATTGTCTACAATATATGAAATACACTGATCCAACTTGAAACCTATCAAACGCCTCTTCACATTCATTATCATAACAATTAACTGTCATTTCATTTTCATTAGCGTCTTGAAGCAAAAAACAAAATTTTGTTCCTGTTACTTTTTTTGTTATGTTACTTTTTGATATTACTCGCCCTTTAATAGTGACATTGTTTGTCATCGTTGTGATCACAGCAAATGGTGTGATTTTTCTTTTTGATAAGTCTGAAGAATCAACCTTTGTATCAACTTTACTTATTTTACATTTGAATAGATTCAAGTCATTACCGTTTCCGTAATCACAAGTAACAAGTTTATCTCGTGTGGTGTCGACTTTTTCATATTCAATAATTTCTAATTTAATTTGTGTTTCTTTTGAATAAGAACACAAAATGTGAAATTCTGCTTTCATTATTTTTAAAAAGTCACCATCGTTAATGATTTCTAATTGGTCCTTAGACTCATAAAAATAAGCATCTAATAATATAACATCGTCGCCAATTGTTGCTTCTATTACTGTAGATTTTGTTATACGATTAACCCTGACAATAAGCGGTTTAGTAAATACAGAAGTTTGAAAGAGCTCAAGCAAATTTCCTTTAGTAATGATGTCAGACATTGACATTTTTAAAATTGTTTTTTAAGTTATGGAATTTATCAATTTATACACTTGTTATAATAAAAATGGATAATAGAAGCACCTTTGTAACTGTTTTGTATGAATAAATGGGAATTTTATAAAAATAATGACTAAATTATAAATTGAACATTTAAATTTCTTCAAACTTTTAAACCATTGTATCATAAATTAGTTTAAAAAACGATAAAAACCATGTATGAATAATGATTTACAAATGAAGTAAAAACATTTTTTATTTTTATAATCAAAAAGAACCTATTTACACTTAATGTTATCAAACTGTAAACCAATAAGTCTAGACCAAATAATAAAAATAAATATTTTATATCTGTTATAATACTAGTAGATTAAATATATAATGGCTTCACAATAAAATATAATAACAAAAATTACAATTTTTATATTATAATATATAACAATACCAATTACCACATTGTACAAAAAAGTTATAGTTTTAAAAAAATATTTTTTGCTGTAAATTTAATATAATAAAGTACTAATTCACATGACAAAAATACCATTTTAGTTATAAATGGTGACGTGTGTAATTATAATTGTGATATCCAAACTTTTTGCAAAAAGTCCCATGTTTTATATTAAACTAATAAGTTCAAAGTATCATATAATAATACTTATTTAATCAATTGGAACACAAGAAACAATTAAAAAGATGGAAATATTTAATTATTCACTTTAAAAAATATTAAAAAAATATAAATCAACTTTCTGAAAATACAGAACATTATATATTAAACAATAAATAAAAATCATATACACTATATATTCGATAATAGTCCATTCTAAGTTCCAGTTTTATTCGATATAAGGTTAAATAATAAAAACTTGAATAATTATTAAAAATACCTTATTTATTTTTTTGTCTCAACAAAATTCCAAATTATTTTTTCACTTTAAAAATATTTTTGCATTTTTTATAAAAACTTTTGTGATTTATAATATGAAAAACAAATGCTTTATTTTATTAGTGTTTATTAAACCACAAAACGTCCGTTATAAAATCAAAATACTAATAACGACATAAACAGTATTTAAACCGAACATATGAAGAGCAATATGACAACCATTGGTTTTAAAATAAACATGCGTTGTTTTATAACAATTTAACGCACTCCAACGACACGTTAATTAACATTATTTCGGTTTTAGATGAAAAACTCATTTGCTTTTAAATTAATTTTAAAAATTATTTGATTTTTTTTTCAACTTAATGACGATTTGGTTTTTGTATTACCATTTGAAGGTTTTGGACTGGAAATAATAAAAAAAATGGCAAAAAAGATAAAAATTGTTGTTTTTTGATTTTTTTCAATATCCAATTAGAGACCCCATTCTAATTTATGGTTTTTTATCAAATAAATCTTTAAATCAAATAGCCCTCTTATCTAATATTGACTGTATTAAATATTCCAGAATATATAATCAGAGTGTAATAATTGTAATAAAAAACTTAAAGAATAACTAAAATGACCACCACGAAGAACATAACAAATCCAAATGCTTTATCTGCTTCATTTGGTTTTATAACAGGAGTGACTGGAATTTGTTTTCCATCAGCGACTGGGTCTCTTACTGGTGCAGTTTGCGTTGGTTTGAAATACGCCGAGACTCCGAGTACTTCTTTGATGTCTTTACACTCTCCAAAGTTGGTTTTACTATCAGATTCTACAACAGTACACTTATCGTCGGTGTAGAACGTCACATCGACATTACTTCCACTAGTGGAATATTGGACATATTTCCCATCTAATACTTTAAAGCACCCAACTCTTGGATACAATTCCCCAACATTTTCATTAGACTCTGCAGCACATGTATTGCTCCCAAAGATTTTTCCTGAAACGATGTGTTGAGGGAGTGAAGTAGATGAGTAGAGATACACATCTGAGCTCCCAGCAGTCTTCATATTTGAAGCTTTAAGAGTGTTGCACGAGTTTCCAGTCTTCACGGTCACAACTCCATTTTGCACTGAAAATTGTGAGTATATGTTATTGTCTGTATCGGTTTTATAACACTTTTCTGGCTCATATCCGATAAGCAGAGAGTCGTAATTAGCACGCTGGGCATACACTGCCGTCTTCTCGTCAGCAGTTTCCTCTTTATATAATTGTATATAAATTTTTTCATTAAAAATGGGTTCCAATGAATTGCAAGTCCCATAGTCAAACATGAACTTTCCTTGTAACGTTTCACAGTGTTGATTGAATGTGTTGAAGTTGATCTTTCCGTCTTGACGTGTGACAGATACAGAGGAGTTGCTCATCAACCAACACCCACTTTTCATATAGACTTCAACGGTACCTTCAGCCGCTGGGTACTCACAAGTGTCGACTCCAAACATCCTCCCTCGGACTTCATAAGCCGGAAGAATCTCAGAAACGGTATATTTAAACCCATTTGGTACTGGGATGGATAACATTAAAGTACAAGAAATGCCCATTTGAGCAGAAATGGTGTTGTCTGCTGATATGGAGAATTTGGCATACTTCCCGGGATAGAGTGGAGACATGTCGTAACAGGTGTCCGGGAAGACTCGAAGGTATGCGGCATCAAGACCATCCTTCGTCACTATTAAAAACTTTGTGGAGACTACGGAATAGATGAGTAGTGTTATTAGAAGGAACAACATACTTTTTAAGATAAATTAAACACCTTAAATTAGATATTACAACGACGAAATTTATATTAAAAGTTTAAACTAATAAAGTTGAAGTATATGTGTAATTTAAAAATGTGATAAAAAATGATATTTCATTATATTAGTAATTAA